TATGGAGGCAATGAGTTCCACAGAATTGGAGCATAGATCGAAAAAGCTCTATGCCTTGTAGCTTCCAGGTGTGCCTCCCTAGGGCCCGGTATGTAGAGGAGATTTTCCTGGGTGGATCGAGGCGACCACTGATGGGAAAAAGGAATGAGACGGTCCCCAAGATATAAAAGTCCTTGGCCATTTTGAGCTCTAAATGTCAGGATCAATATCTTGTAAGAGATCGAATGTTCTGTTGGTAGCCAGTGCAGTTGTAGAAGGTGATCGGGCATTCGGACAACATGGCCTGTCCAGCGGAGTTGATGGCGGAGGAGCATCACTTCAGTGCTGGTGGTCTTTGCTTCTTCCAGCACGCTGACATTTTTTCCCAAGAGATTTGCAGGATTTTTTGGAGGCAACGCTGATGGAATCGTTCCAGGAGTTGCATGTGACATCTGTAGACAGTCCACGTTTCGCAGGCATATAGCAGGGTTTGGAGGACAATAACTTTATAAACAAGCACCTTGGTCTGCCTACGGATGTCCCGATCGTCTTAGGATGGTAACTTTAAGGTATCTTAGTGTGGTAACATTTTCCTACAGTTATATATGATTATATAGATTTGTAAAGGGAAGGGACACATTACATTCCCCACCTTGTTGTCAGAGTTGCTTCTCTACAATTCTATAAATTTAGTTCTTCCTCTGCCTGAAGATACTTGGAGAGGTAAAACCCCCAAAAGCAGCCAAGTGGTTGACACTATACCCCCCAAATTACCTCAACTGAAATGGCATAGAAATCACATTTGTGAATGATGTATGCATGTGCTTCAGAAACCAGGTTTCTTCTCAGGGTTTTGTAGGAAAACATGGGCATTGCAATACCACATATGTGCATCATATTCAAATGGAAAGTGCCGAGGACAACTTTTGCCAATTTTGAGTATTTTTTTTTCACATCAAAGTTATAAAAAAGATGAGAAAGAAAAAAATAATGCTTGAAGAATATTATTTCAGATAAAAAAAGAAACTGAAAAATTGAAGGGTAGGTGTCATCCTTCCCTTCTGTGGATCTCAAAAGATACAGTAACTCTTTGAAAGGTATGTATTTTGATTCTTAGCAGGTCAGATAGATCAGCAGTAGCCAGTCCTTTACTGTGTCTCTGAGAGCTGGCTGGAGTCTGCCTGCTGCTTTATTGAACTGCTCTGTTAGCTTTTCACACCAGCGGTCCATTAAAGAAGCTCCATGAATGTATGGTTTCTACCACCCATCTGCTTGTGACCTTACAATGTCATCTCAGCAACTTCCCAAGGTTTGCACCAAGCTCAAAACTGAATGTTGCAAATTATGTTGGATCCAATGTTGGTTTAGCCTTAGATGTCATCCTTTTTCTGCACATATTGGTGAAAATGCATCTGTCAATCTAAAACATGAGTGCACATTAAATGATATCAACCAGTATTCTGAACATAAAATCCAAGAAAGTACGTAAGCTATTAGCAAATGTTACAGTACGAAAAGAACTTTTTGGTTGGGACAATCTATTGGCCCTGCATGGTACGGCCAGTAGATATCGCAAGCTAAAACATTCAGAAGGCCAAAGGTTCTCCACCTGTCGTGGTTAAAAAAGCATGTGCCTGATGTGTGACCATTTCACAGCATTTTTGTATCAATTGCATTTGTTATCACTGTTCAATGTGCTGGTTTATTCAAGGACTGGATTTCCATGGGGAGCAAGTTTCCCTGTAGACCAGTGGTTCTCAACCTGTGGGTCCCCAGGTGTTTTGGCCTACAACCTCCAGAAATCCCAGCCAGATTACCAGCTGTTTGGATTTCTGGAAGTTGAAGGCCAAAACATCTGAGGACCCACAGGATGAGAACCACTGCTGTAGACTACTGACCAAAAATCTCAGATCCAGCTTGTATAGCTGCAATTAAACTTGGTAAGTACCTAAACACTAGGAAACAGTACATTTCATGGTGATAACTGTTCAGTAGAAGAACAGATGACCTCAACTCTCATTTGGAGATCATTAAATATATAGGTCTTTAGCTGTGTTTTTCTGGATTGGCAGGGGTTGGACGCAATGGCCCTTGAGATCTTTCCCAGCTATGATTCTATAAAAGGCAGCATCATCTTCAGTGTTATGGGATGACATAGATTTGGGACTTCTGGCTCAATGAAAAGGACCATTTTTTAACAGTACCAATAGCTTAGCAGGGCCACAGGCAAGGGATTGTGGAAGCTGCCAAAATTTTGTAGGACCAAAGTGAGGGTGGAAATCAGAATCATAGAGTTGGAAGAGACCTTGATGGGCCATCTAGTCCAACCCCCTGCCAAAAGTAGGAAAATTGCATTCAAAGCACTCCCGACGGATGGCCATCCAGCCTCTCTTAAAAGTTTCCAAAGAAAGAGCCTCCACCACAAACTGTGAGGCTTCCCAGATACTGAACTATTAAATCCAAGCTATGCTAGGCTGGACTGCTGGGAGGTATTTTTCACCATTTGGGCCCCTAGATTGAAGTAGATGTTCAGTCACTGACATCCCAAATTTAAGGACTGAAGTTTATAGGGCTACACAAGACCTTGTTTTCATAGAGTCAGGAATGCTTGACCTTCTGGATATTGGGACTGCAAATTCTACAGTCCTTGAATATTGGCCATGCTGTGTGTACATGGGAATTGCAGGTCAAATGTTTCCCATCCCTGCTTTACCTGTAAGAGTGACTTTTAATTGACAGCACTTTGCTATACAATGAAAATGTGTGTATGGAAACAAACAACACAATTGCTTTTTCTCACATATGGAACACAAGAGCTATGGGGAACGAAGAAGAGGTGGCACAACCTCATGGCTTCTTAATGAAATATTCCTTCAGAATACAAGTACCAGCACTGAAGTAACTATAATATTGTCAAATGGAGTTTAGACAAAGAAAAAGGAGCCGTCAAAGTGACCAAGGAAATGAGAGTACAGTTGTCGCTCCACAATTTGTGATTTAACTTCCAGAAGAAGTTGATGGTAGAGTTTATTATGTATGTATGTATGTATTTGGAACATTTCTATCCCGTCCTTCTCAACCTCTGAAGAGGAACTCAGGACGACTACCAACAGGCACTATTCAACGCCGATACAATATAATAACATAGCACAAAATACAATTAGCATAAATTAAAACAGTAATAAATATACATTAAAAACCCTTTGCCATTCCAATTGGTTATCCAAATCAATCCATTGTAGTGCACTAAAAACATTATCTTCCTCAGCAAGTCAGTCTATTCTGCAAACGCTTGATCCCACAACCAAGATTTGAGCTTCTTCCAGAAGGTCGGAAGGGAGGGGGCACATTTAATCTCATTAGGGAGGGAGGTCCACAGCTGAGGATCCACCGCAGAGAAAGCCCTGTCTCATCCCCACCAAACAGATCTGCAATGGCGGTGGGACCGAGAATAGGGCCTCCCCAGACGATCTTAAGGTCCTTGGAGGTTCGTAGAGGGAGATACATTCGGACAGGTAAACTGGAAGACCTAGAAATAACTAGAGAAGTGTTCTCTTATGTAGAAAACAGAACCGCGGTGGCGCAATGGGTTAAACCCTTGTGCCGGCTGGACTGCTAACCTGAAGGTTGGGTTGCTGACCTGAAGGTTGCTGGTTTGAATCCGCAAGATGGGATGAGCTCCTGTATGTCAGCTCTAGTTTGCAGGGACATGAGAGAAGACTCCCATCAGGATGGTAACACAACCAGACGCCCCCTGGTCAACATCTCTGTAGACTGCCAATTCTCTCACACCAGAAGCAA